CTTACTGTCCTTTCAGATACACAGATTCCACTTCTTTCCAATTTAAATTTAATTTGTTTAGTAGTAGCAAACCGGTTTTCATGGCAAATCTTCCTGAAACATCTCTTAGATCTGGTGAAAATATTCTCTTCCGTCCACATGTGTTCTTCCTTTATGGGGATAATTCTTCACAAAGGACAATTTTTTTTCTTAATTCACTGAACAGATGTCTTGGATACGTGCAAGCTTCGAGATATCTCACAATTTGAATAATTTTCAGTGTCGACAAGAGCTTTCACTGCTGCAATCTTCCGAGGAGACAAAAATTACTTGCCTTTCCCATTATTTTTATTCAAAACTATCAGTTTTCCGTATACAGCAATTCACAATTTTTAAATAAACACGGCTATAACTAATTCACAAACTATTAAATGGAAAATAAACTACCTTCATGCAACAACACACTACTCATGTCACCTCTTGTTCTTCTCAACTCTTGTAATTTTTGCATCTAAGCAACAATGAGGTGTCACAACAATGGTACATAATGACAAATAATGTCTTAATTATTAGAAAAAGAAGCTTTGTTTTTAATGATTGATTCACAACAATGCCAGATGAAATGTACTGCATTGAGAGACTTCAAAACTTAACATTTTGTTAAAAATTTGGAGTGCTTCTAATAATACGGCCAGGGACTGTACTAAAGAGCAGTGGCGATAACAGTACCTTTGTTTTAACCCTTGTTAGTTTAATACTTTGGGTAATTTTCCTTCCCATTTTGATACATTGTTCAGTATTCTGGTACATTTATTTATTATATTAAATTTTATTATTAATTATATTTTATTATTATTTAAAATATATTAAATTTTCATCTGGGAATATTGTCGTAGGCCTTTTCCAGGTCAATAAATTTCATAAGTGTGTCAATATTTTATATTCCATTTTTGTATTATCTGGCGTAAGCAATGGATGTTATCTAAACATGACCTCCCACTTCTGAAACTGCTTTATTCTTCTCTGATAGTAATTCCCTTTTGTATTTTTTCCTTTAGAATACTAGCAAATAACCTAGCTAATGATGGGATGACACTAATTCCTCTGTAGTTTTCACGAAGGGTTTTGTCACTTTTCTTGTATATAGAACTGACGATATATTCCATTCTTGTGGGAGATCGCCACTAACTTCAATTTTGTTAAAAAGGTTTTTGAGGCATTCTAATGTACTACAACCTCCTAACATTCTAAGGTTACGTGGTCCTGAAGCTTTGTTGCTTTTAGCTTTTGCCAAAGCAGTCTTTTCATCAAGCCAACTGATTTCAGGTTCCCACTCTTGCCAATGTGTGCATTTCAAATCGTTTTGGTATTCAACTCTATTTTCTTGCAATACTTTCTGTAGTAATCAATCCATTTTGTAGAAATTATTATTTTTACTTTACTTCCGTAACAATTGTTCCTCATATTTTGAATAGTTATCCAAGATTCGGTTGATCTATTATATCTTATTGTACTATCTATTTCCATACACAATCTATCCCAGTGTTAATATTTTTCAATTTTTACTGGTTCTTAAACTTCTTTTCTCTTCTCTACTTTTTCCTTTTGTGTTTGGGCACTCCTATTTGAAATTCATGACAAATTTTACAATACACAAATACAATGCAATTTATTCTTTTCCTTAATCATGCTTTCTAAATTTTTCTGAATTTTTCCTCAAACTTTCCTTTTTCTTGTTTCACTCCTAGAGCATCTTAAGCTGCTTCAAAAACATTTTTTAAATGATCGTACATTTCTTCGGGACTTTTATCTTCAGATTTTCTTGCTTGGACTTAATTCTGTTTTGGTAAAGCATTTCAGCACTGTATTGTTTTAAAAGGTCTGTTTTAAAATTTGTGTCCTTTTCTTCTATTAAAATATCAGTATCATTCTCAATAAATATTCGATTACTTTTAAAAGGAAATACAAGTTTGCTCACTACCATGTGATGGTCGCTTCCACATTCTGGTTGACGGTATACTCACATCATTCAGTTTTACTCTTCTTTTTTTCTTTACCACAACTGAATCAATTATTAATTGAATATTTACTACCGGATCTACTCTGGTGTAGTTGTGGACATTTTTAAGGATTGAAAATAGTATTCTCTACACTAGTGCATGCTCCTTACATTAATGTCTTTCCATTGTCATTCACAATTTCCTCTCCAAACTGACTTACTACTTGACATTCTCTGTTACCTACCCTGCTGTTAAAATCCCCAATTAATAGAATTTCATTTTGATGCTGAATACTTACTATAATATCACTGAGATCTTGAAAAAATATTTTTCAACAAGTGTATTGTCATTTACCACATACTTCCCTAAAATAGTTATCTGATGATGAAGAACTTACATGTTTATTCTGAGTATCCTTTCTTTAATATGTTCTATTTGTTAAATAAAATTTGTCCATTTTTGTTTATTAAGGAAAGAAACACCACTTCGGGCTTCTATTTTTGGGTACATCACTCCAAAAGTGAAGATATTCATTCAAAACTTCTTCCCCTGACCCCATTTCTTCTTCATTTCCATAGGAATAATTATGTTCAGGTTCATTTTTTCAATTTCTGATATGAGCTTTCTCTGTTTTGTTCCACTGTATATTCCATGTATCAATGGTCATTGTCCGATTCTGTAGCCTTTGTCGTAAATTTGATTTTGGTCTGATCCAAACCATATTAAATAGCTTTGAACTGAAACTTTTTTACAGAGCCGGGATGCTACTTTGCATCCAACCCCCAGGCCACTGAAGGCAGATTATTTTTTTGTCAGAGTTATGATCCCTTAGGGAGGTTTGTTTCACAGCATCCATGGAGACCCCCCTCCCACCTTGGTTTTCTGCCAGGGTTTCCTTCCCTTAGCTCAGAGTTCCTGTTTTAAGGTGCTGGATACTTGCCTTTCATCCCACCCTCTTGCTTACTCTGTGAGTTCTCACCACTCAGTGTGTGCAGGGCCACCATGGGGTTTAGGAAGGGACTTGATGACTCAGATTTACTGCAATGGCTCCTCGCTACAGGTGGACTTTTCGTGCTTTTCCTGGCACTTATTTTGAGTATTTAAAGTACAAAGCATATCAAGTCCTAATACACTTTGTGTATTGTTTAAATACTTGTTTATAAAGTATTTTGGTGAAGTATTTAAATACTAAATTGAAAGTATTTTTCCCAACCCTGAAAGCAATATGGTGCCCTAATACCTGGTGTCTGATGACTTGTTTGAAATCAATGTTAGCTCTGTGTAGGTTTTTTATTGACTTTGTTTAAAGAACAGAAGACTAAGGAAG